GTCAGAAATCCCTACTCATCTGATATTAATTCATGCATTTTCAAAACATTATAATCATCCAGATCGAGAAAAATAAAATAATAACATTAATATAAAAATAATTCCGTTAAAATCAAACATCCATATGATCCAACAAGTACAAGAAAGCTCGTCTAAAAATACATAATCTAAGGAATCTAGCTACTAATAGTGAATATAATAAATACAATGAGTTTAGATGGAGAGAACATGACAACCAAGGAATATAAAGATATGTAATGATTTCCAAAACCCTCAAAGTCTTCACTTTGATATCTCAAACCATTGTTTTCTCTATCCAATTTGGAACTCTAAAAAAGTACACAAAAAACATATTTATAACAATTTTTGCGTTTCAAAGTGGCGCAGCATGTCGCCACGATGAGACATGCATCACACCATGATGGTATACATCATGCACACGTGAATTCCAGGGGCTTTATCTTCTTTTTTTCTTTTATTTTTCTTCAAAAAATTTCTAAGTCCCATATTTTCCATTTTTAGTACTTTTTGCTTCATTCTTCACACTTTGGCATTACTTTTGCTCATTATTTTAATGCTTTCATCTGAATTTGCTAATAAAACTCACATAATAACGACTGCCATCAATTTCCAACCTTCATCCCTTTACAATGTTCATCAACACTTTTAGAACCTTGAATGAGCCTTTACAATTTATCATGCAAGTCCCTATGGTAATTAGAAGGAAAAAATTTTCTCATAATTCTTTTTATCTCTTCCCAAGTGTTGATCGTTGGTTCTTCATATCTTCTCCTTTCTTTGGTAGTTTGATCCCACCACACCAAGGCATATTATGTAAATTCAAGGGTAGTAGCCTCCATTTCTTGAATATTTGTATAAGTGTTACAAGCAAAAATTTGTTCGAATTTTATTTCCCACTCTAAATAAGCCTCAAGATCATTTTTCTGTTTAAAGGTTGGAACTTTAATATGATTAATGGAAAAATGCTTTCAAAATAAAATATGGTTTATATGAGTGAATGGTTATGCCTTTTGGATTAACTAATGCACCTAATGCTTGCATGAGATTAGTGAACCATGTTTTAAGAGATTTTTTTAGAAAAATTTTTGTTGTGTATTTTTATGACATATTAATATATAGAAAAAAAATTTAGAGGAATGTTGCATTCACTTAAGGGTTGTTTTGCAAGTGCTAAAACAAGAAAACTTGTATGTAAATCTGGAAAAATGTGTCTTTTGCACCGATCATGTGATTTTCTTAGGTTTAATTATAAGCTCTAAATGTGTAGATGAAGAGAAAGTGAAATTAATTCAGAATGACCAACACCCAAAAATGTAGGTGAGGTAAGAAGTTTTTATGGCTTAGCTAGTTTCTATAGGAGGTTTGTGAAATATTTTAGTACATTTGTTGCACCTTTCAATGAAATTGTTAAAAAGGAAGTTGGTTTTAAATGGGGTGAGAAACAGGAGCATGCCTTTGCTGCCCACAAAGAAAATCTTGCACCAAGAAACAATTATGGCATTACCAATTTTTTCTAAATCTTTTGAAATTGAGTGTGATGCATCCAATATTAGAAATTGGGCTGTTTTGATGTAAGAAGGTTATCCAATTTTTTATTTTAATGAGAAATTAAAAGGGATTGCCTTTAACTACTCTACTTATGATAAGGAATTATATGACTTAGTTAGGGAATTACAAACTTGGTAACATTACCCACTATCCAAGGAATTTGTCATTTATAATCTTTGAAACATTTAAATGGGCAAGGTAAGTTAAACAAGAGACATGCCAAATGGGTTGAGTTCCTTGAACAATTCATATATTTAATAAAACACAAGAAAGGAAACACTAATGTGGCCGCAGATGCATTTTCACAAAGGTATGTTTTACATTCTACTCTTGAAACAAAAGTGTTTTGTCTTAAATATCTTAAATAATTGTACGAAAGTGATTATGATTTTTCTTCCAATTTTTTTTTTTAAAATATGTTGCCCATAATGGATACTTTAGGCATAATTATGTTTTATTTAAATAAAAAAAGCTGTGTGCCAAAAAGTTCCATTAGAGAATTACTTGTGAAAGAGGCACGTGAAGGGGGTTAATGGGCATTTTGGGGTTTCAAAGACTTTAGAAATGTTAAAAGAACAATTTTATTTGCCTCGTGTGAAAATTGATATGCACAGATTTTATGATAGGTGCATCGCGTGCAAAAAGTCAAAATTCAAAGTTACACCCCATGGTCTTTATACTCATTTTCCTACTCCTGATTTTCCCTAGATTAACATTTCCATGAACTTTATTTTGGGATTTCCTAGGACAAAAAATGGGAAATATTTTTGTGTGGTTGATAGGTTTTCTAAGATGGCACACTTTATACATTGCAAAAAGGTGGTAATGCTTGTCATATTACTGATTTTTTCTTTAAAATAATGCGCCTCCACGGCCTACCAAGGAACATAGTTTTTTATCGTGATACTAACTTTCTAAGCCATTTTTGGAGAACCTTTTGGGCTAAGGTGGTGACAAATCTACTTTTCTCCACCACTTGCCATCCCCAAATGCATGGACAAATTGAGCATAAGGATGGGAAGGCTATGGCCGATTTTGTGAGGAAAATGCATGAAAAAGTAAATATGCAAATTGAAAAGAAAAATGAGAACTATTCTAAATATGTCAACAAGGGAAGAAAGGGGATGATTCTTGAACCCGAAGATTTCGTTTGAGTGCATTTTAAGAGGGAAACATTTCCATTACAAAGGAAATCCAAACTTCAACCAATAGAAGATGACCTATTTCAAGTGTTGTCTAAGATAAATGATAATGCTTATAAGATAGCACTTCGTTGTGAGTATGGTGTAAGTGTTATTTTTAATATAACTTATTTGTCTCTTTTTTATGTAGGTGACAGATTTCAATTCAATGTCGAATTCATTTCAAGAGGGAAGGATGATGAGGACATTCCTAACAAGGGCACAAGTGAAGCACTCCAAGGACTAGGAGGATCAATGAAAAGGGCACGTGCTAGGAAAGCTAAGGTAGCCTTTGATTAAATGGTGATCACTATCATAGAAGGAATGCCTAACTTAGAAGTCATGGAGTCTAAACTAGTCAACTTTATTAATCTACATGGAGAGGACGTGGCAAAAAGATGTTGTCTATTTGATTTATTTTATTTAAATTATGTTATAATAAGATGTGTGGGCAGAACTTTGTTTAAATTAGGCTCAACGCTTAAGTTTATGTTATTTTCCATCAATCTTTTGATTGATTAGTGGGTAGTATGGTTTATGTGCTGCTCAGCCCAAGTTTTGTTTGTTTGGTAATCCAGGGAAGCATAATGAGCAAAAAAGAGAAAATCTTGAAGAGCAAGGAAGACATTTTTTTTTACGAAGAGCAAGAAGACATTACTTGATTAAAATGCATAATTGTTATTCAAAGAATATTGCTAATTTAATGCGTTATTGAGAAAGACTGCAAGGTTGATTATTTTCCTATAAATAGGCAATGCCTAAAGCAATGAAAATCAATGAAAATTTTGAGAAGTTACACTTTGTGTATTTGTGAGATTATGTCTCTTCTCGATTAAGGATTGAACCATTCTCTTTGATCTTATAAAAAAAAAACCGAATTTTGTTATGGCGATCATTCCCCAATGGCTTATCATTTCACTTCTCATTGGAAGCTTGAGGGTGGCGTCATCTCCCTTCAATTTCTATATATTCTATATTTACATACTTCCATATTCTTTTTATTACTATCATTTATTATTATTTGTTCTTACAATTCTACATATTTCTATTTTCATTGTCAATTTTATTCTAGTATCCATAAATCACGTCCTAATCATTATTATTTTATATTATATGTTAAGAATTGCCAATGATATGCACATGGAATGACAAACCATTCAATTAGGTAATCATCAAACATACATATTGAGGCCCCTCCCATAGGTCTCAATGCAATTGAAATTTTTTTAAGTGTTTTTTTCACTACTTCAGCAAGTGGATTGAAGCTCAAGCCTTACGAAATATAACGGCCACTAACATCCATTAGTTATTTAAGAATGTCTTTAACTTGGTGCGAAGCTCAATTCACCGACATGAATTTGAGAAAATTCTTCAAAGATTTGGAGATCACGCACTGCTTCACATGAGTGAAACACCCTCAAACGAATAGTCAAGTAGAGACTGTCAACAGAGTCATGTTGAGAGGACTGAGAAGAATACTAGAAGGTCCAAGAAAAACTGGACAGAAAAGCTGCCAGACATCCTATGAAATTCCAGGATCTCCAATATTCAAGAAACATTGAGCGTTTGTATTTTCAAACATGTATAAATTAAAATATGTTGTTCAAAATATAATCTAAAAACACCTAATTTGAGGTTCCTAGAATCTAGTGAACATTACACTCAAAAAAAATCTTCAATAGAAAAAAAATATACATGTAAAACTAAAAATAGGTGTGAGAGATCAAGCATATATAGAACCTTCCATAAATGACTAAGTTTGTTGTGCAAGGTATCAAGGTATCATAAGAAATATTTTACATCTACGATTGTATATTTTTCTTGAGAAATCTTTAAAGCAACATCACCTTTAAAGTAAAGTGTAGGTGGAGACCGAAGAGTTTGATTATGGAATCACGTTGTTCTTATCACACGTGTTAAAAAAATACTGAGACTTTGAATTTCAACAAGGGGAGTAGTTCTTCGGTGACAATAAGGTTTGCATAAGACTGGAGAATCATATCAATAGACTAAGGCAATACAATGGCAGGTCGCAAGCAAACATAACCATGATTACGATCGAATAGCAACAAATCACAGCGGCCTCGAGCCATGGCAAAACAATAAGTTATACAGCGTCACAAATAACCAAAATGGGGGACGGGTTTCTACAATTATGCCCGCTCTGCTGCCAAGAAACAAAATTTAACAAAAAGAAAGAAGATTTCTTGAAACGGAAGGGGCAAAAGAAGCTGATAAATTTGGAAATTTTCAAGTTTCCAATTTGTCAATGATGGTCTCAGAATGTTCATGGCTTTTGTTTTGGTCTTTGCCATATGCAGCAATTAATAAAGCCTCTGCCCTTCCTACAAGACAATTTTTAAGAAAAAAAAATCAGAGCACATAAAATCTGTAGTAATTAACAGGAATCAATCAGCATATATATTCAGAAGTAGAGGGTTTATTTAGAAGATAAACTACAAATACAGCACTTGGATGTTTGAAGCTTGATAAGCCATTAACTATGAGTCTTCTGTAGATAGCATGCTGATCATAGTCATAATTAGAATTATCATCTTTAGATTAATATTTTTCTTATTGTGAGATATTCTTTCACTCTCTCTCACACATATATCAACTAGGTGATGGTATTTTCTTCCAGCTACACCATTGTGTCATAGTATTGTGTTAAAAATATGTTACCAGTATCGTATATAGTTAATTAAAATTGATATTATATTGATTATGTTGCTTTATTGTGTACATCTCACACCAGTGTGTGCCTCAGTTCTGTCATCCCGCATTCAATCACTAGTGTCCGCCACCACCTGGTTTGCTTCTCACAGGCAAATCCCTCCAAAAATATCATGTCTTTGTTCGCTTCCGCATGCACTCTCATGTGCGGCCCGCCTCCCGGTGCGTGAAACCCATGCACTCTACCACCAGATCTATTTTTTCTTCATTTTTTGGAGCTTGCAGCCCGTTCCACCACCAGGCGCACCAGTTTGCACATTTTCCACCTACCAACACTCATGTGTGATAACTCCGACTTTAATTTCATGTTTAAGCATACTAGTTAGATAATAGTAATTCATGTACACATAAAATTCTGCTCATCAAATGTGAAAATTTGACCGGGACAGCCACAATTGCGCCGCTTCTGTCAAGCTTTGGTTTCGAGGTCAAGGACGAAAAGGATATCGCCACCATTCACCGCACAAAATGAAAACAAGCTTTCACCACTCAATGATGTTTCAGAAAAGGCCAAGTCTACTCCAGCAATGTCCATTGTGTCTATAGTGTCATTCTTAGTTTCAACTCTCTAGAGCTGGAGAATACGGACAGGCAGAATTATCTCGGTAAGCTTGATCATTAAATGGTTGATTTTTAATCCCTAATGACTTTGACTAGTGACTTGATAGGAAGTCATTAATGATTAAGTATAGAAGCGTTACTCCCTCTGTCCCATATTATAAGCAAATTTTATTTTTTAGATTTATTGAATAATTAATGTTTCTGGTCTATATAGACCAAATACATTAATTATTCAATAAATCTAATAAGTAAAATTTGCTCATAATATGGGACGGAAAAAGTATTTCTTAAGCAAGTGGAGTATGGGTTATTCCAACATAAAACTTTGGATGAAGTGGGAATTTTCTTGTACCCATAACGGCAACCGCATGAGACTCTGACCAAGGGTAGAATCATTGAAAATTTCATGGCAGATTTTACAATGGATTAAAAGCTAATTATAAATTATAGGATTTGAGCAAGTTCCATAAGCATTCCCCTTGAAAAAGGCTTTGAAGATAGTTTATGATCATCAAACAGCAGAGTAATTGAATAATGGACTAAACAAAAGAAGTATGTACCATGATCTTTTTTCCTGCTTAACAGGGAACTCAGTGATGGAAATAATGTGGATGCAAGTTTCCTGCTATCATCCTGCAGTATAATAAAAAATCAAAAACAGCTGTAGCTAACAAATGAAATGAGTATCCTTGGTGAATAAGGTCATATAGTGAATGGAAACTGCATATGATAATTTGAAAACAAACACACTAATCTGTAGTGTCAGGACCAAACCAACCTTTGCAGTCTTGCTTCCAGAGAGTTCAAACTTAGCTTTCCAAGTAAAAGATGGCACTGGAACAACAGTAAATCCTGCGGAAACTAAAATCCCAATCCACAGCCCGTATGCAAATCCTCCACTCCACCAGCCCTTGAACACAAAAGATGGGGAAAATATTAGTTTGAGCTAAAATTATACATTGATGCATATTTTTCTAAATGTTAATAGGAGTAAATTAAAACATTATTTTAAAAAGAAACTGAAAATATAACGTAGTACATTGGATGTTCGTAACTAAAATATGTTTAGTCCCTCTAAACATAACAAGCATGTTTTAATTTCAGTTGGATTCATAAAAAAAAATTCTCCTTTTGATCCTTCATTTTTTTGACTGCTAGTCCCTGCCGTTAGTTGTCGTCTCTCCGATGAATGGATAACAGAAGGCCATATAAGCACAGCCGCATGTTAAAAAAGTTTGGGTGGCACGTCACCTCCTCATTCCTTTCATCTTCTTCGCTTCCTTTCCCAAACCTAACACTCTTCCCCTCTCCTTTTCCTTCTCCCTCTCATGTCACCCCCACCTCTCCCGTTACCTCCTTCAACCACTATCACCAACTAGTAGCGGGGAATCTCCAACAAGTAAAACGAATCATGGTGGTAAGATTTAACATCAAAGGCTCAAAGTCTTGACTAAGAAAATAAAGAGGGTTTAAAAGGAGGGAAAATATACAGGAACTAAACCAAAAACTATGTATACTTAGAGGAACAAAAAACATATCTAAGCCAATTTCCGCATTCCAATTTCAATCATAAATAACATATAAATTGGGCATAAAATTGAGTAAGCACCAAAATAAGCAGTAATAAATGAAGTATTTCACAAACTAATTTGAGTAAGCATAATAACCTGCTTCCCGTCTTTTGGAAAAGGAATTGACTGCTCTATATATGCAGTGGTTCCTAATCAAATCAAGAATCAGTTTGCAAATATCCAACCACAAACAGTATCAACCTTCAATACAAAAAAAGCCAGAATGATTTAAAAATTACTAGTGTAAAAAAACATATACCAATACGCAGTCCATTAACATTTTGCACAAAAACACAAGAATTGGATTATTAATCTTTCTGTCTACCCAACCTATAATGTAAATGGCACTATCAGTATGAATGTCTCGCCTCTCAACCTATTATAGTCGCGGTATCAATACATGGTAATATCGTAATCACAGTCGTAACATATCATAATAGTCTTGACTAGAAAGAAAACATAAAAGACTATAAGTAAAGAACTTTAGACTACCAGGTGGAGCATCAAAACTACTGATCAATTGAACGATAGAACTGGCATTTAAACGTCTTCGTGTTCTTTTACCAACAAGTAATTGCACATGAGGAGAATCAAATACCTGCATATGTTGGACTGATATACTCACATCTTTTGTCAATATATGGAGACAAAACTCTGAATAAAATCTAACCATTTGACCCAAAAACAAAAAGGAAAGAAATTTATCCTAAACAAGTGTGGTACCTGAGCAGAACAAACCGAATCATGGATTTTCAGCAACGCAACAGCGCCAGAAACATCTGGGTCGATTCCAATGAACCATCTGGTGGAGCCCTCAAATTTGTCTTCATTCAAAAGATGGGTATTTCCTGGAGTAGAGTAAGAGATTGAAGCCAGCCAATTCTCCTTGAGTTGGTCATTGGAAGAAGCCAAAGACCTACGCTTTCTGACAGGAACTGTGGTTTCAGGGTTGTTCAGATTCTGGGTTTGGGAAAGAGAAGAGGCGCAGAAGGATCTGATATCAATAGTGGGTTTGAGTTTGGAAGAAAATTTGTTCATGAAATGCAATTGGGTTTGGTGAAATTCTGGAGTTAATTGCATTTTCAGGGACTCCATGGTTATTATTTTATTACATGTTGATGGAAAAAGGAAGAAGAGTGTTTAGAGAAAGATAAAGGAAGGAAGAAAATTGATGAAAACTAAATCAAATTCAATTTATTTCGACTCTTCAATTCTTCGGTTTTCTTAATAGGTAAATTAAACATTTTGATTATACTTAAATTTATGCATAAAATATTTTAGCACGAGAATTCGAGTTAAGTTTCAAGTTTACATCGACAAATAAGAGGATTTTGTATATTTTATTACTGGTTGAGACCTTTTTCTCCGAAGCTCTTCTTGTGGTTAAAATGGGTAAAAGATATATTATGTGCAATCATTCTAGTTGTTAACTTAGGACTAGAAGGAAGGTAATCAACTAGCTTGGAAGAGTTTGTAACTTTCGCACTCTTGACGTCATTGTTAAAGTCTAATGGTGGGATACGCCTTATTGTTGTAGGTGTCTATCTAAGGTTTATATGAAAGGAGTTGGTAAAGATGTGGCATAATATCTCAATGACTTCTAAATTGAATCGGGATATCGAGTGGTACATAGGCTATTTTGCACAGTACAAACACGATGTTGAGCAAGCAACATGGCGATTGTTCTTTGGATATGCTCACAATATATTTCTTAAATGTTTTAAAAAAGATAGATCGTTCGACATTACTATCCAAGGTGATGGTGAGATGCACGTCTATTTCTTTATAGGTTGAGTTTCTTTATGGCCAGATAATGAGGTTGTACCTCGAGGGATGGGTATATTATGTTAGCCACTAGAGTGCAACAGAGATACCTCTTAAAACCACTCCTTTTTGTTCTTGTGGTATACTCTCTTGTACAAAAGATCATAGACAACTGCAAGTTTCTCCTTCATGTCTAGTATTTTAATGATGCGACCATCATAAGGGATTCATAAGAGGTTGTTAAAGTCCTTGAATCATTCGGAAGAATGGTATAGAATTGGGTTTTGAATTGAATATTCATAAGAATGAGATCGTTTGGCCTTCGTGTGATGTTATTAGTCAAATTTGTAGGAGAGTTGTTCCCTTCAAACAATATGAGGTTGGCGTTGTGTATGAAGTTAATTGGAGGGCCTGTTAGTCGAGATAGAGTTTTTATGGAAGGGTTGTCTATAAAGAGCGTTATCAGAGTTGTTAAATTAATGCATCTTCTCTCATAGTTAATGGATCCATAAAGTGGGCTTTTTCTACTTCGATCATGCATGGGTGTCACAAAACTATTTTTTTGCCTAAGAATGTATCAATCAATTCACATATAAGAGATAGTTATTTGGTCTGATAAATAGTTGTGAATGTGGTTGAAAATATCATGGTTGGTAAATGTTCTTCCTTTCGGAGACCATCAATGGATGGTGGCTTCTTTACCTATTAGAGTTGGAGGATTGAGTTTATACTTGGCAATTAAGGTTGCCGCGTAAACTTTTGTGGCTTCCAGGGTTCAATATTGGGTGTTGCAAAACCATATATTTAGAGATAGTGGGATATATAGTATGGATTCTAATTCTAAAATAGCTTTAAATGGTTTTAGTGGTACAATTCCATATTTTGTCTGTAGAAATTTTATTATAAAGGGCGTAGTCCCCCCTCCCCCTTAAGTCCAACATGCTTTGGCGAGAGCCCTTTTTAGTAATAGTGTTCAGAACATGGAAGTAAAGTTTGACATAACCACAAGATAAAAAGTAATTTTTAGGTCTTTGCTGAAGGGGTGAGAAACACAAGAAAGAGGGGTTTGAATTGGGTTTCACTAACTATGATATTTTGTGCAGAATTAAAACTCAATGCTAACAAAAGAAATAAAAATAAATAGATACAATTATTTTTGTCCTGGTTCACTATTAACAAAGTTACTACAATCCATCCACCAAGGTGATTTTTCCTTAGACAAAGACTTAACCCAATAATCTAGAAAGATTACAACCTCTAGGTGTTAGAAAACAACTTAGTCCTCTCAAGTATCCAGACTAACAACTTAGTCACTTAAGGAATCTACACTTTAAAAAGTGTTACAAGAGTGTGTACAAGAATTGCTTCTAAACAAGCAGATGACACAATTGAAGTGCAATAACACAAAAGTGTTTTTCTAGCAAGATATGAACAATAGCTCTTTACTGCCACACCTCGAAAATTCACAACGAGAAACGCGACCCTTGCGCTAGAGGCACGAAAATGTTGTTCGACAGAGTCGCCGTCGAACTTTATTTATCCCAAAGAGACGAAAAAGGAAAATATCAAGAAAACCTTTTAAAAATGAAAGGACAGGAATGATGGTCGTCGCAACCAATGTTCCGGGTTCGGGAGTCGGTTACGCAAGGGGAAGGTATTAGCACATGTTTACTGTGAATTTTGGTAAACAACCGTTGGTCTATCAATTTTAGAGTAAATTGACTAACTTGCAGGATTGACCATACTAAATCCTAGAACATGTGCTAAGCGTGTACCAAGTGGCCTTAAGCTAAACTCCACGTTCGACTATGAAAGCTAAAAAGGTTTTGACAATAAAGACAAGAATGTAAAGGGCAAAAGATTATAACCAAACTCCACGTTCGACTACAAACTCTTTGTAAAGTAAAAGGTGCTCGAAGATAAATGTACAAGAAAGTAAATTGCTTTGAAAATAACTCTAATCTGAACTCCACGTTCGATTAGGGGATCTTTAAGTAAAAGGTTGTAAAGTAAATGACTTTGAAATTAAACGTGCGAAAGACTCAAATGGGAACTCCACGTTCGACTTTGAAGTCTTTAAAGGTTAAATAGCGAGAAGATAAAGGACTTTGAAATTGATTGGGCGAAGGATTAAAGGTGCAGGAAAAGTAAATGGCTTTGAAAAGTAAAGTTGAAAGTAAATGGCTTTAAATTAACAACGGGAATGTAAAAGCGAAAAAAGACTACTTTCAAACTCCACGTTCGACGTACTTCCTTTGAAAACTTAAATGACTTTTGAGAATAAAGATGCGAGTAAGTAAATTGCTTGGAAAATAACTCTAATCAGAACTCCACGTTCGACTAGGGGGTCTTTGCAAAGTAAATGGGCAGAAAAGTGTAAAGGGCAGTTTTGAATATAAAAACTGAAAGTTAAAAATGGCAAGTGAATTGTAAAGACAAATTGCATTGATAAGAAAGGGTTTGGTGTTGTATCACGTACATTCTCGTTAACTCGTTTCTTTACACGCGGATACTTTGAGTTGTATGAACTAGTACAATAATGAATGAACACCCTTATTACATAAAATTTATGCATATTTATAGTGCTATAGAATAACTACTACATGGCAGTTGAGACTTCCTAGCATACTCTTTTGGCGCTTCTTTGTTCTTCTAACTGCTCACACGTTCTTTTCTACTTGATTTGAATTTTGAATATTTTGCAATTCCCTCCAATTTGGCGAAACCGTCTCCTTGCTCTCCTTAGCATAGTCTTCGTCGAGCATTCTCCAACACTTAGTGTTTTTTTGGCCCCTTGTTCATATTTCTTCGACTTGAAGTTTTTCTTGATTGGGTTGAAACCCTCCCATACACTGAGTATTGATATTTTTTACCTAAGATAGCTCTGGTCTCGACTAGCGTCAAAAATTAGGAGCCAACAAATTGCCCCCAAAAATTGTCCTTTCGCCAGTCTTGGATAGGAAGGTCAGTTTTTCATTTTTTTTTCTGACACGCGTCACTTTGCATGTCTCTGATTGAAATCCCACTATCTGTTTAGTGGCCTAACTATTCAATTCTTTCCTTCCATGCTCATGACATTATGCCATCATGATAAATCCTTAAACGTCTTTTCAGCCGTATTTATCATCACTTTGTCTTGAAAACATGCATTTGTAGTCTGACCATAACTGCTCACACACATCCTTTTCTTCAAACCAACACGTGTCCCACTACTTGATCATTTTTAACGGTGGATTTTGCCCCTTTTGGATTTTCAAACGTTTATAAATACCTCCCCTCACCGTTTCGTGAATATTTTCACGCTCCAGAATTTTAAATGTCCTACATCTTTCTTTAGCTTTCTTCATCGCGTTCAGAAAGAAAACCCATCTCATTTCCAAACACGAACAATGGCTTGTTCCCAATCCGCTGCTCAGGAGAAGAACACTCGGAAAGGACACGCTACCCAAACCAAACAAACCATTCCCCCTTTCATAAACCTGGCTAGCCCTCACTTGGTGGAGAATCATCCATGTGTTCCAGAACCCACCTCCGAGACCGCCAAAAGCATCTATCATTCCCAGGTAATGATTCCTCTGATTGTTTCAGGTAAACCCTACGCAATGTCAGGTCCTTTAGCACAAGTTTACCAGATAACTAGACCATTAGGGCAAAAAAGTTTCCCTGCCCCTTTTACCGGTACTGTTGACTCTACTCCATTGCCAACTTTTGACCTTGGCTACCGTGCTGATGGTACTCGTTTACTAAGAGTCGTGAGTCCCCTGAAGGATTTCGACCTCTGGATGGCCAAAGTAGAGAAAGTTAAGGCTGATCACTGGAAATATGTAGGGATTTATGATCTTTTAATGTTTTCAAAGACTCTGTTTCCATACTGTTTAAATTTACTGGTGGCCCTCGCTGTATTTCTGGGATAGTACCCATTATACATTTCACTTACGATGTGGGATGGTTTCTCCTACACTCTTCGACATAGCCGCTATCACCGGCCTTCGTCCTGATGGTGTCTCTTACCAACCTGATGTTGATGTTGAAGACTATGTCAACATCCCCACCTCTAAACTCACCTACACTCATTTCGTCAACCACCACTTCAACCAAACTCCTGAAAGTGTGTCTGACGAAGAGCATGTGGCATTCCTCGCCATGTGGCTGTCAAGATATGTATTCTGTACCAAGTCTCTATAGGTAGCCAAGAAATACCTACCTCTTACCAATCAACTACACCATAACAACGGTGTTTGCTTAAGCGAACTTATTCTGGTGACCCTTTATGAATCCTTGAGTGAAACGACTTCTCGACTGAAGCGTCTAAAAGCTCGTGAATCTGTATC